CTGCTGCAGCCCAGCACACACCAGGGACCTCCAAAGGGCCGAGCTGGTAGGAGATGGGCCCAGTGGAGGTGTGCTCAGACTTTCGATCTTCAGTGCCCACTCCACACTTAACCCTCCTGCCCGTCCCTTCAAGGTCAGGCCAGAAAAAAAAAAGTAGCTGGAGCCACCCGGCTGGTTAAGGGCAGGACATAGATGCTCCAGGCAGCTGTTCCGTGAAAAGGCAAAGGGCTGGGCATCCTTGCAGAAGGTATGAGGATCGATGCGTAATTTAGTTAAGCTAGACTGAGTAGGAGACGCAGCCAGCGGAGAAGGGGAAATTTTCCACTATATCCTAACTGCTTGGCATAGTGAACCCTGGGCAAAACTTGTGAGGGAGGAGGCATGGGTGCCTGGCACATCAGATGTGCTGGGCTGCCCCTGAGGCTGGAGGGAGCCATGGGAGACAGGGGCAGGGCAGTTTATTGCTCCCAGGGGAAACAGGCAGAAAAAAAAAATAGCCTGGGGGACTAGACTGAGCAAGCATTCCTGTGATTATAGCTCAGAGGTGGGAGCCGAGGCTTTCTTCCCACATTGCTAATCACTTACCCAGCACTCTGAGCGTCTGAGCCCTGCCGTTGTGCCTCCAAGCTGGAAGGTGGGGGCTCATCCTACCTTCCTCCCCCCGGCAACCCGACTGCATTGTCAGGCTTAATTCATTAACATCTGTGAAGTGCTCTGGGCTCCTAGGCTGGAAGGCAGCACAGATTTGGCTCACTCCTGCAATTGCTGAGCAGTGCTGGGGAGAAATGGGGTCTGATTTGGCCATGCTGTGTTACTGCCAGCCAGTGAAGCACAAGGTTAAGCTGAAAGAGTAAGGAAGATGGGGAAGAGCTAAGGCTCCACAAAGTGACCAATCATGTAAAGGTCAAATCCACATCTGAAATACAACAGACAACCAGCACCAGTGAGTGAAATCCCAGGGGGCCTGGACTAAAATCACACTGACAAGAGAAGAGCAACATCTCAAGAGCTAAGCAAAATACCACCAGCTCCAGGATGTCCCACTTCACCTCCTTCCTCGCTGTGTGCGCAGCTGCCTTCATTTGGCTGCAGGAGTGCAGGTCCAAGCCTGCAGATGTGGCCATCCTCAGGCAGGGCGTTATATGGGCTCTTATATCCCCAGCATGGCTCCCTGCCCCAGTGGGGAGGACACCTGAGACAGAGAGCTGGGAGCCCTCCCTGTGGAGTATGATTGTCCAGGGGAGCTTTCAGAGACAGAGGAAAGGGTTTCCAGCAGCAGCAGTGCCAGGCAGGGCATGGATGAGGCACTGCCAGTGAGGGGGACGTGGTGCTCAGCTGTGAAAGCACAATCTTTCAAGTGTTTTCATTTCTTCTGCACAAAACTGGGATTGTTTACATGTATTATCTAGTAGCAGATAAAGTTCTCATCTGACTCAAGCTGCCACCCGCTTTCAGGCATCATGCTGCGTTTGTCTTGGGACTCCCTGCAGCCAGAGATGAGGGGAGTGCCCAGGCTCCCCGCAGGTCTATTGCTGATGCTGTCCCCAGAGTCACAGGGGATGATGGCCTTGTGTCCCCTGCAGCCACCTAGGTCCTGCCCTGCTGTTCCTGTTCCCCAGCTGTGAGTGGTGCAGGTGAGGGCCACCTCCAGCCCTCCAGCTCTGAAGCCTGTGGGGTAGCAGCCTGTGCTGTCTCCCCAAGCAGGCTTGGAAAAGCCCCCAGGACTCTTCTTCGGCGCTGCCCAAGACCCAGCCCTGAGCTTCGGGGAGCTCCTGTGAAGCCTGCCAGCCCTCCCCCTCCCCTGCTGCCCTTAGGAAAAGCGTATGCTCCTGGAGCGCTAAAATTAGCCAGCCAGCTGTGCGGCACGCTTGCATAGGAGCCTCAGTCCCCAGACACGGCCCAGCCAGGTCTGCTGAGGAAGCAGCATCCTACCTGGGGTAATGGGGCTAGCGCGGGCTGACACAGGGAGGGCAGCAGGAGAGCCTTTCCCCATTTCTCTGCCGCCTGAGCCTGTGAGGGGACCAAAGCACCAAGCAGACAAAAGCAGTGGGCAGAAGCGAGAAGGTGTCTTCTCCTGCTGAGCCTGGTAAAGGTTGCCCAGGAGAGGCACAGCCCCTTCAGGCACCGTTCCCTGCCAGCCCCCTCCCCAGCACAGGCCAGTAGAACTTTCCCTATCTCACCCACCCCAGCACCCCACTCCCCCTTACAAGGGCAGGTGCTCCCTGAAGCAGAGTGGTGCTTCAGGCAAGGAGCCTGTGGTTCCTCATGCTGCCTTTTGCTCCCCCTCCCCAGCACGGCTCCCGTACAGAGGCGGCTGAAAAGCGGCGGTGGGAAGCACCGCAGCTGCAGAGGGAACAGGCCATTTTTAGCAGAACAGCCTCCCCGCTGCTGGGCTGCGGGCAGAGCTGCACGGGGCTGTGCTGCAGCGTTGCAGCCTCCCCCTGCTCCCTTACACCCAGCAAAGGTCTTGGCCCCTACCCACGAGAAAGAGCCTGTGGCTTTCTGGTACTTCCTCACGGCCCTGTTTCCCACTGGGTGGGATCTGACGGTATAACTTCATCTTGCATGTTTAAACTGCTGGTACTTTTGGGGGTGAAGTTTAGCAGGGATGGGGCAGTGCCTGAAGTGTGGGTACCCAACCATGGGGTGCTGGGGACTGCAAAGGGGGCACCCCAAGGAGCCTGCGGAGCATGGATGCTCCAGGGCGCAGCAGCACTGGAGGGCAGGGGTTCAGGGTCGTCATTTCGGATGTTTCTACTCCATTTCAGGTGCTTTAAGCCTTTTCTGGACCCAGATTTCAAATTAGAGGAGAGTTTTTCCTGAGTAACTCCTTTTACAGGCAAAGCGTGGGCTGAGAGGGAGGACAGCCCTATTGAGAGCTGCTGGTAACCCCTCAATGATGGGGTGAGCGATGCAGCCAGGAATAGACCCACAGAGGCTGAAAAGGGAGCTCAGCTTTTCACCCTCTGTTGCTTTTTTTCATCTATCATCTCGCCCTGTCGTGGCTCCGGCACCCTGTGGGAACGCATCTTCCACATCACAAGTATTTGCCAACTGTAGTGCTTCACCAACAGCAATGGTTTCTGTCCAGCAGATCCCATGGGAGCTAAGCCTATTCCCAGGGCCCAAGACTGGGAGACAGCAGCTCAGAAACCCTCCTGAGAACAGACGATGCCAGAGAAGCGCAGCAGTCCAAGGCCAGAGGTGCTTGCTGAACACTGTCCTCGCTGAACACTGCCCTGGCCAAGCCCTGCTGGGAACTGGGTCAGGCAGGGAGAAGGAGGACTCCCCCAGTCACACCTGTGCGATGAGTTCCCAGCTCCAGGGCTTTAACAACCAGCCCACTCTCCCCATTGCCATGCCTCGCCCATGTCACCAGAAACGTTCCCTCTGCCACCAGAGATGGCTCCAGTCCCAGAGCCTGGCCACAGCTTTGGGCTCCAGTGCTCCAGGGAGCTGAGTACCATGGGGTCGATGCCACAAAGCCTCTGGCTGCAGCGAGGGCAGACTGACCCTAGTAAGCTGCCTCCACATGTGCCCCCTTGCCTGCGATGCAGGCACAGCAAGAGCTGCGAGGGAATCAGGACCCCAGCGAGAGCTCTGGCATCCTCCTGGGAGAACAGGGCAGCCCATGTTCCCCTCAGTGAGGCAACAGGAAAACTGCAGGCCAAGGGACCACCACTGTTCCTGCATGAGGACGGACATGTTCATTGTATCCCATGTAGCCATCCATGTCATCCTGCCCAAAGCTCTCACTTTTGCTCCAGCTGCTTGGCTGGCCAGGGAGAGCGATCAAATTTACCTTGAGCAGCTCCTTGGGGAAGTCAGTGCCTCCGTTGAGTCCCTCCAAGTTGCCAATGAAGTCGGAGCAGGACATTCTCTTCCCAATGTTCTGGGGGAGCCAGGGGAAAGAAACACGGGGGTTACCTTCAGGCTAGGGGCCGGTGCTGGTTGGAGCAGGTCCCACAGCCCAGGAACAGACCCCCCATCTCTGCAGCGGGGTGAGGGACCAGCCAGGTCTCAGGGAGGATGCTTGCAGGTGTGGGGAAGCTGCCGGCTTTGCCTAGACTCTGGGATTTTTAAATAACCTTCTTTTTCTAAGTTGGGTGCTACCCACTCCTGATGGCAGTTGGTTTTGGAGCCTCACTCCCACCTTCTCTCCCTGTCCACTTTTCTCTTCTGTCCTCATCCCACCTCCACATCTTCCAGCTCAGTATGTCTTCTCCACTCTCTCCTTCACCAGCCCCTCCTCTCATTCAGCCTTTCTCCTCTCTCCTCCCCAGACATGTTAGGGGTGACCACCCCTCATGGGCCCAGGGTCCCGTGCCTCCTGTTCATGTGGTTCTGTCCTTGCAAGGCCTCACTCTTCCCCCAGCACCTACAGTTCAGGGCAGTGGGGTCAGACAGTGCAGGGACAGACGGGGCCGATGGCAGTGGAAACTTACGTGTCCATGCAGATCTGTGTTTAGCAGCATCAGGGCACAGGTGAGCGTGTGGGCTCCATCTGCAGCACAAGCACAGGACAGGAATTAGAGCCCCCAGCTCAGCCCCCCAGCTGGTGCTCCAGCTTCTTGGCATCTCAGGCAGGGCTTGGGGGCTCTGAGCCCCCAGGAGAGCCCTGAGCCCACTCCTCCCACCCTGGGCACACAGGGCACACAGCAGTCAGTGCGGTGCTGGCAGCACATGGGTGAGTAGGTAGGAGGCCACTGAACTAAAGCTGGTCCCAAACCTGAGCGTACAAAGTCCCTTCCAAGCCTGCAGCCCCTTCAGCCAGGCAGCGATGCTGCAGCTAACCCTGCAGAGCTTCAAGCACAGCAAGGTGGGACCAGCACAGCCCTCTGCCAGCCAGGCAGCCCAAACCTCACCTGCCCAGAGCCACCCCAGAGAAGACCCAGCACATGAAC